TTTCAAGGTTGCGGTCACACATCAGAGTCACATCTCAATCAACCAATATGTAAACGAACCCCATGACAAAATCAACAGTAAGTTCTTGTGATGTTAAAAACTGTAAAAGGTAGAACAACACAATTTAGATGGGGCATAAAAGATTCGAATTGCATAGCCAAGCAGGTATTCTGTAAACAATGATATTAGTTTTTAGGCAAAGGCAAAGTCAATTGTGTAACGGAATTACAGAAACATAAATTAACAAGGGAATTTCTTGGGCATGGGGAAAATCCTGCCAGCCACTTCTCAATGGTGTCCTTAAAGATTTCAGACAAGTAAATTATAAGGATCCAGAGGACCTGATAGTGTTACATAGATCCAATGATACTCGAAACACGGGAGTGGCGGAAACGCAAAAGGGAAAAGAAACCATATAACACTATGTTTAGAGGATTGCATTGCTTTTGTATTTTCTTCAAAGGAGTGATAAGAGACTAGCCTAATATCTTGAACTTCGCTGTTAAAACCTACTTACATCTCTCAGCACACCAAAATTGTCAGGGAGACCCACCATTACTGGCAACAAATTGCCTAGAAACCAAAGAAACCAAGCTCACTGGCTCTTTCTTTCTCGAATGTCTCGAAGTACTGATAGATGATTGTCACTGCAAGCAGAATTCCTGTTCCTGAACCAATTGCACCCATGAAATCGGCCAACACTGTCAGTGCACCAATGCACATGCCTCCAAAAGCAGCAGCTGTGGGAATGTAGCGTTCAACTCCTTCTGCAAGTTTGATTCACGATGACCAGGCATCACCATTTGTTGTTCCTGCAAATTAGAAAGGGATATTGTTAGCATGATGCTTGGCTCTGTGTATAATCCGTAAAGTTCTGATTTAAGAATTGTTCAAATGCATCTTTATTATATAAATAGTGCATCTGGTATGAATATAATTTGAGGATGATCTGGTCATCAAACTCGAGAGCATAAAGTGAAACAAATCATAAGAAATATATTAGAAAATACATAAAAGGGTAGGTATCTAGTCACACTAACCCCCTCATTTGCAAGAAAGAGATCTCAACAAAAATATAAAAACTTTCTTTGGTCTATTAGAGAATACATAACTAAACTATTCAGATTTAATACCTTGAGCTGCTTGGCAACATCCTTGGCAGAGGATCCAGAAACTTCAATCCATGTTTTTGAGAAAAGCGCACAGGCTGACAACATGAACACAAGATAGAAAAGTGCATGGAAAGGATTGGCTGCCATATCAGCTAAGCTGCAAAACATTAGAGCAACATATCAATTGAAGCACAGATAATCATCAGGTTTACCAACAAAACTGCAACCTTTATCAGGCAGAGTAAATAAAGGAAAACATTCTGAGTTACCTTGAAGGTGCAGTGATATAATATGCAAGACCACCGACAGGAACGAATTGTCCACCTGAATATTCAGACTCCTTCCACTTACCCAAAAGATTCACAAGGAAATTTCCACTGTACCTCCTGTACAGCAACTGTACATAAACATTTAAAAAAGCATTGTTACAATATACATTAGAAGAAAGTCCCCAAACTGCCAATACAAACGTTTAAATCTCCAGTACCTGGGAGATGAAGTAAAGGTTGGAGACAAGTGCAGACTGCAAAATGATGGGCATGTTGGAGGTGTAGAACAGCTTGATAGGATATGAACCCTGCTGTCCACGAGCATTCTTTGATCTCACAGGTAGAACCACACGGAACCCTTGGAAGTAGATTACTATTAGGAAGATCAACACTGTCGCAAGCAGATTTGTCACATTTGGAAGATTCTGCCGGTAAAAGGCCTCACGAAGAGCTCGAACCTTATCTGTTCGAGTTATCAGCAGATGGAACAGGGCAATAACAGCACCTTCAAATTCAGCTCCCCGCCCACTGTTGATAGTGGTGGGACTAAACGCTTTCCAGATAATGTTTTCACTGAAAAAGAATTATATAACTTTTTAAGTACTCAAATTTGGAGTAGTATATCAGAAAATTTCCACAAAATAATGAACAGACTGTAATTTGTTATGCAAAAGATCCCATTGCTGGACATAACTAGGCAAGAAAGGATTACAAACTCACCAGATATTGGTGGCAATGAAAAGGGAAATTCCAGAGCCTAGACCATATCCCTTCTGAAGTAGTTCATCCAAACATATCACAATGATACCAGCAAAGCAGAGCTGAATGATAATGAGAATGGCATTTCCAACTCCAAGTTGGCCAACACTACCATACATCCCTGAGAGAACATAGGCAACTGCCTCACCAATAGCTATCAGGATGCCCAATAACTTCTGTGCTCCATTCCTGGGAAGAAAAATGGAAATCATCACATGGAATACAAATAGCAATATGCATATGCAGGTTGAAAATGAAAGAGAATGCTAAATATTAAAGCCACCTATAGTGATCACAATTAACATACGCCATTTTTTTAGGCTTAGTTTCCAAAAAATTTCCAAATACAGTTTTCAGAAAGCAGTATAACAATGGCGCTACAATTTCTCAACCCAAAACTGAAAACATATTCTAAAAACAATTAATTTTCCAGCCTGTTGTGAACATCCTTTGGGCGGCATTGATTCCAAATAGTATGCAAACGAACAAATCAATACAGATTAACCCAAATAAAATTCGAAGGTCTCAAGTTATATACTTACAAAAGAGCACGATCTTCGCGTACATTGTTGTCCACTTCAATAATCTTAGACCCAGCAAGGAGTTGCATGACCAGCCCAGATGTGACAATTGGGGTGATCCCAAGCTCCATGACAGTCCCTCGATTGGAAGCGAGAATAACACGCATCCAATAGAAGGGATCTGCACCAGTGGTGGAGTGTATGCCATACAGAGGAAGCTGGCTGCATACCAAGAAAATGAAGAGCGAGATCACGGTGTATATCACCTTCTCTCTGAATGGGACTTTCCTGTCAGCGCTCTGAACTTCTGGCAAAAATGAAAGAAAGGGCCTGACCAAATGAAGAACTCGAAATCCACCCCCCATGTTGCTTCGTCAAGGCTAATCACCTAATCCAAAACACCATTTGAGACCAAGTCAAAATTTTTTGCATCCAAAAACAAAATTGGTTTGGAAAATCTGGGCTTTATGCTTGTGGTGATTTAGATCCAGTTGATTCTTATGAAATTCAGAAATAGAAACACAATCACACACATGCATATCACCTACACTCACACAATGACATCGGATCCAAACAAAGACAAACAAAGATCAATTTCAGGTTAAGAGACTGACCGTTCAAACCCCAGTTTGGGAGCTCGAAACCCTAGAAATGGGTTCTCTTCTCTGGTGGGAAAATCCGATCTGAGAGAGCTATTATCGGATTTTGGATCTCGACCCGAAAGCTGAAAACGAGAAATGGACTTCAAACGCTTGGGCGTTACAAATAAAGGTAGCTTGCTTGTGAAAGTGGGACTTGGTCGCCACGAGGTCAAAGCCAATCAATGATGGACACGTGTCTGTATAAATGACGTGGAAAAAGACACCCTACAGAAAAAAAAAATTAAAGGACGGATCTCTTCTTATACATAAGTCCATAATGCTGATAGATATTATTAATATGTGTTTTTATATATTAGTACTTTAGGTCCAAGACATACCAACTTTGTCATTCAATCAATTTATTTCTAATAAATTAATGATTCCATATAATAGGGTAACGCCTTAGAGCATCTCCAACTGATGTGTTAAACGTGCCACATAGACATTTAACAGCTATAAATAACATCTCACATCACTCCAACCAATGTGTCAAAGCTGATGTGGAATAAATGCTGGAGATTGAGATGTTATTTTTGACATCCCAAAAGCAAGATGTCAAATGAATATTTTATTATTTTTTCTTTTCTATTCTTTTTAATTAAAAATGAATCAACACTAAAATGTAATAAAATAATAATTTAATTTGGCATATCGGGTGGAGTGTAAAGCTGTGTAAGATGTCAAATTGCCACATTAGCCATCAAATTTAAATTTGACGTTTGGTATTTGACATCTCCCTTGGAGATGCTCTTAGAATTTCTCCTCCTCAAAACAGGAGATCAAACAAACAAGGCTCATTATGGCAAAATTTAACAATACCCAGGCTATAGATCTTGTTCTAATTTGCCCCTAAACTTTCAATTTAGTTATGAACTCCCTTAAATTTTCAATTCATACCAAATGTCCTCATGTGATTAGTTATATAAATTATTCTGTTAAATTGAGGGTCATTTTTGCTCATTCCTAACAACGATTTTACCAAACATGAGAATCTCATACCTATTTAATCCCATGACCCTAATCCACAAATCAACAGGCCTTAAAATTTTTCCTCCCACTTTTGCTGCTCAATTAGATTCCTAAACGTTAGAACAAAAATTATTCAGAAGATTCAAATTTGGGGTAAATGCTTGGTTACGTCGTCAGTTAACTTATATACCCTTAAAGTTAGTTATAAATTACATATGATGAAATCAAACACAAAACTGACGTAATTGACGGTTAGGTGAATATTGGCATAAGCTGAAAGTTCTGGGGCTCAAATCAAATTAAAAGTTCGAAAAGTTGAACAAAGTTCAAAGTTTGATGGAGCATTGGTGAAAAAAAATTATTGTCAATTAAAGTAGAAGATAATTATCCCAGTAATTATTTTTTCCTCCCAGAAAAAACCCACTTTCCGAAAAAGTGAAAAAGGAAGAAAAGGAAAACGAGAAAGTGTAGAGATTAAAAAAGATCCAAGGAGAGAGAGAGCGTGAAAAACACTACAAAGCCAGAGGTGTGTACCGCCTGTCAGTCACCATAATCAAGCTCCCCAAGTACTGAGCAAAAACACGGAGCCCCAGTTGGTACTTTGCTTCCAAAACCCAAAATTTACAAAACGCAGCTGCTCTGCAATTCAAATCGAAGTCATGATTTCCTCGTAAACCTACTTATACTTGAAAATTCAAACCAACTTGCTCATCTCTCTTCCTCAGTGCAATGAGAAATTCAATTTTCTTTCTCACTCTCCTAACACTCACTGTCGCTTACTCCCTCCAATTCCAAGCTCACGCTGCTCCTGCAGGTAAACTATTACTCACCAACTTCTCTAACTCTCTCTCATGTTTTGGGTTCTGTGTTTGATCTGTTTGGTTACTGGGTATGCTTTGTTTCCTCACTTGCTTCTCTTATGAATGTATAGCTTTATTATATAGATAATTAGATACCCAGTTCTTAGTTTTCTTGATTCTACTAAATTTGTTCTCTTTATTCTGATATTCCCAAATAGCTTTCTCTCACTCATACACTTGGTAATGATAATATGTTGGCTTCCTGTGATCTGCATATATACATCCTGGGTTTTTTAGTTTCTTACTTTTACTTCACTTATGATATGGTTTTGAATGAACTGTTTGCTCAGGGCCATTAATAAAACACTTGTCTTCTCTTCTCAAGTGGACCAGGGAAATTTCCTCCAAAACACCACAATCAGGTAATTTGAAGTGACTTATTAGAATATTTGGTTCTTTTTCATGACCTTTATGCTTAATTGGCATAATTTCTGTACAAGTCTTATATGGTTTATCACTTTGTTTTATTGCAGATGGGAATGTTCTTCAATTTGAGAATGGGTACTTAGTTGAGACTGTTTTGGAAGGTAACGACATTGGAGTAATTCCTTACAAAATCCGCATCTCAGAGGATGGCGAACTCTTTGCCGTGGACTCCGTTAACAGCAACATTATGCGGATTACTCCGCCTTTGTCCCAATGTATGCAACAATACTTGTGCTGTTTTACCTTATTTGAGATTGTTCCCTTCTTTTCCCTAACTTGATATTTAAATTTCCATTTTTACTTTTTTGACATTTTTCTACTTCAAATTTTTTTCTTTTGGTCAGATGAAAGTTTTCTGTGTCAATTAATTTGATGCTCATATTTTCTTTTACTTTTGCTAGTTTTTATATTGTTGTAGAAGGTAGTTTGACTGTGGAATTCAATATCGTTGAGTTTTAGAGTAATATAAACATTTCCTTACTGCAGATAGTAGGGGAAGATTGGTTGCTGGGTCATTTCAGGGTTACACAGGACATGTTGATGGAAAGCCAAGTGATGCTCGTTTCAATCATCCCAAAGGTGTAACTATGGATGATCAAGGGAATGTATATGTTGCTGATACTGTGAATCATGCCATAAGAAAGATTGGAGATGCTGGTACATCAGTACATGTAGTTCTTGTTACTTTCATAGTTAGTTAGAAGCTTATACAGATGTATGCTGGCAACAAGTGCTAAGAAAAAATATCAAATTTCTTTATGTATGTATGGCATGTATTTATGTTGAATTGGCAAAACTAAAGTATGGAAATATAACTTGTACACGGGAATGTAAACTGTAAAAATTCCGAAGTTTTCTAGATTCTTTTTATTGAAAACCTTATTTACAAATTCCGATAAAAAGATTGAGTGGTTTTTGTATAAATTATATTGTTCACATTCTTATACAAACTTTTTGCAGGTGTGACAACCATTGCAGGCGGGAAATCAAATGTTGCAGGCTACAGGGATGGGCCTAGTGAAGATGCAATGTTCTCAAATGATTTTGATGTGGTATATGTTCAATCTACTTGTTCCTTGCTAGTTGTTGATAGAGGAAATGCTGCTCTTCGGCAGATCTCTCTCAACCAGGAGGATTGTGATTATCAGTACAGTTCAATTTCTGCCACAGGTCCGCTGTTGCTTATGTTTACTTTTCATTCATTAATGATGACATAAAAGCTCTATAACTCATGTTTTGGCTGTTATGGAAATGGAAATAGCTACACCATGCAATGTGTCCAGGCAGGCATACTCACTGATCTTCATGTGCATATGTACTATCCCTAGAATTTGCATAGGTTGTGTATAGCTGTTTTTCCTTTTAGTTTATGCCTGTGTGATTTCACATATTCTACTTTATGATGAACATGCACAATGATTTGATTAGTTCGCTTTGCTGACAAATGCTTATCATTGTGTAATATTTAATTTGATACTGTAAATGAGAGAGATGTCAAATAGAAGGTCTATGTCTTGGAGGATCCAAAGAAAAACCATGGTGTTATGGTCGAACTTTAAAGTTCTTATTATTAAGAAGCAGAATGTGTGGAAGATGATGGCCCATAAGTTGCCCTATCAGCTCAACTGTAGTATATGGCCATTAACTTATCAATGGGGACATAAAATAGCAGAGATATAGCAGCCATTTGACACTTGTTGACATAAAATTAAAAGTTCAATTTGATGAATTCTTGTGTCGCTTGGATGTAATCTGGATTGAGGAATACTCTTTATGAAGATCGGGTGTTCACTTCATTGTAGTTCTCGTTGTATAAGATGTCTCTATATGTTTGTTAAAATTGTTTCCTTTGCAGACAGTTATATGAATATTAAGGAAGTAAATTCATTTCTAAGCTAGGAATAAGCATCACTATGCTAGCAGAAGCCAAATGAAATAGGGCATGAGCTTAGAGAAGTAGTTTACTGGTGTCTAGACCGTTGCTCATATAACATTATACTCATCATCTTCATCAATGTCATACACTCAGCTTTTATTGTACTGATGGTAGGGGGCTGTTGGAAATCAGAGACCACTGTATTGTGCATCCAGTATAGAGCATATGATTCTGTTTGACATTCTCCTTTTTGCACAAGATATATATAGTGTGTTCAGTTTCTTTAAACGACACAGATTTTGTTAATGATTTGCTTCTCTTTGAGTGTTTCTAATAAGCTTGTTATAATCCTGCATTATATGCGGCATTAAAATATCAGATATTTATGATGTTTCATGATGACGAGAGCTTCAAATTCTACTTCAGATTGTGCTCCCTTTTTCTGACTGCCATTTGTGGGTCTTTTTGGCAGATGTGCTTATGGTTGTTGGTGCTGTCTTGGTAGGGTATGCTACATGCATGCTTCAGCAGGGATATGGACCTTCTTTCTTCTCGAGAACGGTATACCTCTTATGATCTACTAATGCATAAACATTATATTTCAAAGCTTGTCCTTGGTCTAGTCATGAATTTTACCAAAATTTGATTCATTTTCCACCCTTCTCAGCTAATAAATGCATTACAAGTAAAACATGTTATTTAGTCAAATATTTCTGCCCTTATTTTTTTTCATTACTGCTCGTGCATGCTTCAGTATTCACAATTCTCTCTTTCGTTTTCCTTTTTCTTTTTTCTTTCAAAGCATTCGCTAATCTCTGAAGTTGCCTTTTCCTTTATGCTTCTGTGGTTTTACCATTTGTAAAAGTTTTTCCTAGGTCTTGCCAAGTCAATCCATCTTTTTCTTTATTGCAATGTAATAGAGCTGTGCATGCTTCCCATTGTGGTAAATTCTGTTTGGTGCAAGTTGTGTTCCTCGCTTAATGTAATGCATAACTTGTGTAGCAGCCACCTTTAAAGAGTGAAATTAAAGAGCATCCAAGCAATGGGAAATCTTCTCCAATGGTGGAGAGCATGAAAGAGGAACCAGGATGGCCATCTTTTGGACAGCTCATCATTGATCTATCCAAGCTTGGGCTTGAAGCATTGGCTGGCATATTTGTTCACTTCATCCCCTCCCGTTTTATGCCTGGTGGCTCCCAGAAAGGCCTCACTCCATTAAAAGATGCTCTTAGGATGCCTGAAGATGAAGCTGTGACCCCATTAGTTCAGAGACAAAGTGCTCCTGCTCCTCTATCTGAGACTCGACAGGCCCATACTCCCAATGCAAGTGAGAAATATTCAGAAATGAAGCCACCAAAGATGAAGTCAACTAGTTTTAAAGATCCCTCTTTGTCAAGCAAGCACCGGTCTTCAAAGCGACAGGATTCTGCAGAATTCTATGGATCTGGTGAGGTTTCTTCTTATAGCAGGTCTAAGAGTCAGAAAGAAAGACCGAGGCACCGCCAACGAGATAAGAGTGGCGAGATAGTTTTTGGAGCTGGGACAGAACCAAAACCCATGGATATGAAGGCTGCAGGTTATGACAACCCAAGGCACCGCCAACGAGATCAGAGTGGCGAGGTAGTTTTTGGAGCTGGGACAGAACCAAAACCCATGGATATGAAGGCTGCAGGTTATGACAATCCGAAGTTTGAAAATTACAATATCAGGAGTAGGTATGGACCTGATAGCTCGTACCGCTTTTGATCAAACTGTGACCTAGTGATTGCTGCCTTCAAATTTCAGCTAGTTTTTGCCCTATCTTGAATGTGCATCCTGTATTTCATTTTGAACTAGTCTGTAACCGAAGATGTGTTTTAAAGAGAAAAATACAGATGGCTTAGCTGAGACTCAACAATGGTGTAACAAGCACTATATTACATATGCCTGTTTAGTTTAGGGACCATAACACGGCTGTCATTTTGTTAGGAAGTTAATGAGAAACTCGACATGCAGAATGGTTTTGCATATTTTCTATTTTCTTCTTTTGTTTTGCATAATATGGTCACTGGTTGGAAACTCATACGCAAATCAGGTTGATATCGTTAAAAATTAATAAATTTGCAAGTATTTCGAAAAATAGTAAATGTATTAGTGAAATTGCCTTCTAGGTATAGGGTGTCATAATCATATATTTATAATAGGTGGGTGGATATTGGTAAAACGGTGATGGATAGATGCATTCAACCTGAAAGGGTGTCGACCTGATCTATCCAACCTGAAAGGGTGTCGACCTGAAAAAAAGAGTGCTGATTATATCTCTTTATTGAAGATAACTATAGGCTGTATACCTATCGCCTCAAGTAAAGACTTTAAGCTGTAAATTTCACGTTTACAATTGATTGAGTTTTGCATAAACGGCCAAGGGATGTAACATGTGCCTCGGGGATGCCTTTAGTTAGAAGAACACTGATCTTACTTTCAACCCAAGAGAAAAAAGACTATTGATTTTATAATCAATAATATATATATATATTTTTTTTTCTTATTGGCAACATTTCATAAAATTCAAATCATCTCGCATCAATGTATTTATTAATTTTGTTTTCTAAATAAGGACCAAGGTATTAACTTTATATTTTTATTACGTTTGAATACTAGTGTTATTAGAAATTTAACTTATCAAAATTATTATATAAGTAAAAGAAAAAGAATTGAGCTTAACCTTTCAAACATCTTTTCAAACCAAAAAAATAAAATAAAACAATTTAGTTTGGTAATTAATTAAAGGAGAGAAAATAGCTAATTTTAAAGTAATTTACTTGCCGTGTTTATTATTAGAATACATTTCTATTGGATTCCATACCAAAGTCGTCGACATGTCTTTTCAGTACACTCGACGACATTGTAAGTTGTAACAAATTGAAGATTGCGTCGATTGACCAATGTTCTAAAAATAGCTACGCATAAGGCATGGGCCTAGCGCCTAGAGGAGTAATCGACTAGGCGTTTTATTTATTTATAATTATTTTGTATTATAAATTATAAATTAATACATAAATAATGCAAAAATAAAAGGACATATAAATGATAAAGTACCATAATCTATATATAAAGCAAAAGGTAGAGAATGGTAAAACATTCAAAATACCAGAAAATATCATTGGTTAATGCAAACATTAAGAATTGAAATTATTAATTAAATGAGGATAATATGGTAAATTCATACTTTTTCACATTGAAAAAAGTTAAAAGAAAAATCAGATAAAAGATTCTATTTTTATGGAACACAACTAACCATTATCTTTTATAATTCTAAAATAAATTTAATTTTTTTTTTTAAAAAAAGCCTCATATAGGCTCGGAAGTGTGGGTGGAGAGGTTAGTTAATATAAAACATGGGAAATAGTTAGGCATAAAACCTAGGGTTTCTTCAGAGGGTGCATTTGCTAACGGATGGGTTGAGAATCTCTTCTATTTAACTTTTCAAACTGACTTCAAAAACACTAGATTAACACACCAACATGAAATATCGTTTATCTAGCCTCCCTTAGTGTAAAAGGACTGTGACTTCATTAGCTGCAAAATGCTTTAGAAGAAGGATTGACCTCGAGTTCATTGACATCCTATTTTTTGTTGTTGAATTTATGGGTTAAACCCGTGTTATTTGTTATAAATAAAATTCATTTTTTTATTATGGCCTAATGGACTAATAGTTGGAAATCATTAGAATGAGAGGTATTAGAAAGAATTTAAATTCTCATTCCCAATATCGCTTGTACAAAAAAAAATAATTGAAGAAATAGCTCCAGTCCAATGGACTAAAGTGTTATTTCGGCCCCAAACCTTAAAATGATATTACAAAATTGTATATTTCAAGAGTATAGCCGAGTGGCTATATTAGAATATTTTAAACGAACAGCCGGTCGGCTATACTTTCTAAATACATTCGAATATTTTAAATGTATAAATATTCGAATATTTCAAGAGTATAGCCGACCGGCTATACCTTTTTAATATACTCCAAACGAACACGAAGCTTGCACTCGCAGAGGACGGAGGTTGCAGTCGAAGTTTCGCTTCTCTATCAACTCAAGCTTCGATTTGTTTTCTTCGGTTTTGGCTGCTTCGTCCTCCGGGTTCGGCAACGAAAAAAGACCCAACTCGCCTAGGAGGCCCGCCCAGCCGCCTAGCGCCCGCCTAGCCGCCTAGCGCCCGCCTAGGCCCATTTTTAAGAGTCTAAAGCACAAGATTCCGAGGATAGACTCGAAACGGTTGCCTCTCAGGCTCAAAAGGTCATGCACTGATGTACTCAATCCATCTATGGTCTATGGCTATGAGTGTGTGATGTTGTTAGTGTGGTGTTCATTTTGCCATTGGCTTCTTTCTCTTTGCTTTCAGATGGCTGACATTGTTACAGAACAATGGATTCAAATTCAGCGCCTTGAGCAGGCTCTTCATATTACACAAGTAAGTTTTTTCTGCTTGAAACTGGCTTTGGGTTCTTTATTTGCTAAATTCATAAGTTTTGCTGATTCACTAATATTTGATAGTTTCTTCTTGGTTGGACTGCTTTTCATTCTTTGGATATTGCATTTCTGTTATAGATTTTGGCATTTGATCATGCCCTCTTGTTTTCTGAGAGAAAAAAGAAAAAAGAAGCAAGATTTGGCTCCTCCTCCTGTTGCATAGGAACCCAAACCCAACGCACCAAAGGACAGAAATTTTTTTTTGAAATATTACACCACCTCAAGTGAAAAATCTAATTCATTTAAGCTTTTATATTTGTTCTTGTATCAGCATCTGTGTTTCTGTTGTGTGAACCCCACCTCAACTCCAAAGAAAAAAAAATAAAAAAATTAGAGGGTGCATTTCCTAACGCATGGGTTGGGAATCTCTTCATTATATTTAACTTTTCAAACCGACTTCAAAAGCACCAGATTAACATACCAACATGAAATATCGTTTATCGAGCCTCCCTTAGTGTAAAAGGACTGTGACTTCATTAGCTGAAAATGCTTTAGAAGAAGGATTGACCTCGAGTTCATTGACATCCCTTTCACTATAAAACCTGGCTTTTAAGGTTGAGGCAATGACCCTTTGATTTTGAAGGATAGCAAAGATTATTCTGCAAACATCTCCAATTTTGAAGGATTCCAAAGGTGACAAATATTTTAATCTGATCTCTTAACAATTTGTGTCTAATAATGGCTAATATGCCGTTAGAGAAACAGAGATAGAGGTGTGCATATCACTGTGCTGGTTGTAACATTTGGCTAATATGTACCTACAGGAACTATTAATATGTCTGTTTTCTAACTGTCCAGCATGGCTGGTCTAACAGATGTTCTATAAACTTAGCTTTCAATTCTAGCAAAATATGATGATCACTCTATATATATGCTTAACAAAACCCTCCATTTTACCTATCGTGCTTTGATTCTACGTGCTAGATAGTGAAAGTTTTTGCTTTTTGATATACTCTTAGTGGTGCAATTGGTTGCTCTTATGTCTTCGTCAGAACCAAAGGCTCCTCTTGGTTAACAGAATTCAAAGGAATATGGTTCCAGTGACCATCTAGTAGATGCAACTTTGCCTGCTACTGAAGTCAAATAATCAGAACTGAGTATAAGGAATGGTACAAATAATCTTCACTATTATTATCAACAGTGTCTTCTGCATCACGATTCTCTTTCTTTGTTTTAATGGAAGTTTGTAACTCAAATTTGTGTTTCTTATAAAAAGAAAAATTATAAAGTGCTCACATATCACGATTCTCTTTCTGCAACTCACATATCCCTGCGAGCTCAAAGTCAGTTTACAAGCCTGACAATGTTAAAAAAGGACAAACAATAAAGGAAAACGGATAACCCTCAGTCAGTTAGAAAACAGTCTCTTGACATCATGGTGCAGTGACTCTGTGCTCCACAACTAAGAATTAATCCAGTGCTGCAAAAGACAGTCTTCTCATAACCCATGACTTATCAAAATCATGTTAGGATATTAACAAAATATATTACTATAAATTCATGTTATGCAATCAACTAAGGTTTGATATGCGACACATATGAAACCGGACTTTTGAGCATTCACACACAGACACACAAAAGAAGACCACCGATACGGATCTCTGCAGATCACGAAAGTCAGCATTGTCCATTTAGTACTACAGCCCTAAAGGTGGTAAAATTCTATCATATAGAAGGTTTAACATAATTTGTGATAGGAGAAAGTTCAAGGTCATTAAAAGTAAATGAAACGCAGATTGCAGATTGGGTGTGTCCAAGACCCCATGAAGAATTCCTTGCTAGATTTTGGAGCCTGCAATGCAAAGAGACCAGCGTTTTTTTGTCATTTGTATGAATTTTGGAAATATTTCAACAACTCATGTTGTGATTTGTGCAACTTAAAGTTTGTTCCTTTATTCTGTCATGATTTCAACAACTCATGTTGTGATTTGAATTAGAGTTAATATATTGTTTGGTATTAGAAGTTGATTAGAAATATGTTGCTTGAGAATATGTGTGGTTTTTTTTTCTTTTTTTAAACTTAAATCTTCCAGTGGGATCGCTTTTGCATCCTATGTTGATGTTCTGAATGCTGTTTTGTCATGGCTGCTGTTTTACATATTTACATATATCAAGTTAATTAAGTGCTCTCAAAAGCTACATTGATGTTTCTTTCTTTAGGCGAGGCTTCATCCTTGATGCAGCCACACCCGGAGAATTCATTGGTGGGTTAAAGACTACCATGTAATGCCAGGAACCAAGGCAAACAAAAAAAATTAGAAACTCAGAGAGAATGAGAGGGGACATTGACTCTTTCCAACTAACAGGAACAAGACATTTTCTTTAAAGACTACCAATAGATTGATAGTGTTCTTATGGTCAACAAGGACAAGAATTCCAGGGCTGCTCACCTTGAGTACACCTGATGAACCAGTGAGGGGTGTGTTTCTTTTAGTCTGCCCTATATATGGAGAGTTTGACTCTGATTAGAAGATAATTGTATTAATTTGATAAAGTTTTCTGTAACTGTCTCTCACCTTAAAAAAATCTCACAATTAGCAGCATTGGAAACTTGATTAGAAATTAGAAACCCTACAGTATATAGTTTAAGTTGAGTAGCTGGGAAGACAATTAGTAAGCTATCAATACTAAAGTTGAATAGTGGGGAGGCAAATTACTAAAGTTCCAAGGACAGATAAATAGGATGAATTTCTCATAAGGGATCCCCTTTCACTGTAGCTTGGAGTAGATTTCGTTTTGACACTATCAATTATCAATGTAAACGCGTTACTGATGCATTATCGACAATATCGTTGCACGTCATATCAAATTTAGATGCGTAATTGAATGCAAATAAACATCACTCTCTCCAGTGTGAAATGGAGAAAATTCTCTTCAATCAAAAGTGGGCTTACTTCAAATTTAGTTCAAGAATGATGGTGTCTTGCCTGACAATTGACTATTAGGAGCGTTCCTCTAGTAGAAAAATCTAAATCATTTGTGGTCATCCACTCACTTGGTTAGTCTTCCAGAATCAAATACCAAATCAACTCAAAGGAAGCTGCAATTTTCTGAATCGTATACTTGTTTTAATTCTTCCTATCGTTTTCTCTTTTTCAGTTTTTTTTGTCCCCCTCAAGTTAATACTTAAGTGAGTTGCCAAATGGGGGAAAAAAAGAGAGTAGAAGAGATGAACCCCACAATTGACTTTAATAGACAAATGCCCAAGAGAAGTACCAATGAGAGCATCTCCAATTGGGAGGTGCTATCCTATAATTTGACACACATTTCTTTTTTTTTCAATTCTAACATCATGTCATCTATATCGCAATAGGCCATTGTAGTTAAATTTTCAAATAACCAAGTTGCTCTCTATTTTCCAAAGAAGACTAGAAAACAACTTACCATCTGGTGCTGCTTCCTCCAAACATTAGAAAAAACAGAGCTACACCCAGGAGGAGCCCAGGAGATGACACAATACTGCCTACTATGATTCTTACTTTCTTCACATTCAATGAGACTATAAAATATAACCCAAGTGGTCTAACCCCCCGGGGGCGGAAATTGGGTTTAGCAGGTTTAGCACTGATTGTTGTATAGTCTTCATGATCTAGGCAGGAAAGATATATTTGAAAGCAAAAAGAGTGAGAAGTTAGATATTGATAAAGAAAGAAAAAAAATTCTGTAATGTCTGTCATCCATTGATCTTAACAGACGAATTTTGAAAGTAGAGTTTGATAATTGTGTCCAAATCCAAAATTATAGAGTAACAACCTTTGGGTTTGATATGTTTTGACTTTACTTTTTGTACATGATCATGAAGAGATGGATAACTCCCAATTGACTGTTCCATATCCAAAGATGTTTCTTTTTTCTCTTGTTTTCTTTAAAATTTGCATTAACACACTGACTTTTGAGATTAAAAATGACTCGATACCTAGTTCTGATGCTGCCATACTAAAATAAATATCTTGCCCATTTTCAGTGAAATTTCTTACATCAATCAGCTCACTAAACCACAGCAGGCACCCACTTCCTCCATCCCTGGTATCCAAGTTTGCAAAAGCTGTGCAGGAGCAGTTCTTCATGCACAACATCTCACATTCCTTGAGTTCCATACTTCTGTTAAACCCACATATATCATTTGCAGAAGATCCATCATTTGCAGTCTGTTTTGTTCACTCTTAAGGTTTGTTTCCTGTTTCAGCTTAAAATCTTCAGCTTTCAAGTATATGCTAAATTGAAAGCAAATATATAATATTTGGTTGCATTTGTACGTCACAGAGACACTCATTGGCTACTGATGAGAGGCTTAATGCTCTAGAAGAAGAGGTTCACATCTTTTTCAATTTATTTTTTGCAATTTTCAATTCAATGAAAAAGTAGCAGAAAGGGTTTGTTGGATTTGAGAAATGGTCTTTGCAATGCTTTTTAGGTACGGCTTCTGTGGGCTGCATCAAGAAAGTACAACTTCGATCTTCATCTTTTAGAGTTTAAAGCACAAGATGCCGAGGATAGACTCGGTTGCCTCTCAGGCTCAAAAGGTAATGCACTGATGTACTCAATCCATCTTTGGTCTGTGGCTATGACTGTGTGATGTTGTTAGTGTGGTGTTCATTTTGCCATTGGCTTCTTTCTCTTCGCTTTCAGATGGCTGACATTGTTACAGAACAATGGATTCAAATTCAGCGGCTTGGGCAGGCTCCTCCTCCTGTTGCATAGGAACCCAAAACCAACCCACCAAAGAACAGAAAAAAAGAAAATTGAAATATTACACCACCTCAAGTGAAAAATCTAATTCATTTAAGCTTTTACATTTGTTCATTAGGCCACCTCAAGTATCAGCATCTGTGTTTCTGTTGTGTGAACTCCACCTCAACTTCAAAGAAAAAATAAAAAATAAAATTAGAGGGTGCATTTGCTAACGCATGAGTTGGAAATCTCTTAATTATATTTAACTTTTCGAACTAACTTCAAAAGCACTAGATTAACACACCAACATGAAATATCGTTTATCGAGCCTCTCTTAGTGTAAAGGGATTGACCTTGAGTTCATTGACATCCCATTTTTTGTTGTTGAATTTATGGGTTAAACCCGAGTTATTTGTTATAAATAAAATCCATTTTTTATTCTTGCCCAATGGGCTAATAGCTGGAAATCATTAGAATGGGAGGTATTGGAAAGAATTTAAATTCTCATTCTCCAATATAGCTTGTACAAATAAAATAATTGAAGAAATAGCTCTAGTCCAATGGACTAAAGTGGTATTTCAGCCCCAAACCTTAAAATGATATTACAAAATTGTATATTTCAAGAGTATAGCCGGGCATCTATACTCGGTAAATATAGTAGAATATTTTAAACGAATAGCCGGACGGCTATACTTTCTAAATACATTCGAATATTTTAAATGTATAAATGTTAATATATTCGAATATTTTAAGAGTATAGCCGCGCGGCTATACTCTTTTAATATATTCGAAACAAACACGAAGCTTGCACTCGCAGAGGACGGAGGTTGCAGTCGAAGTTTCGCTTCTCTATCAACTCAAGCTTCGATTTATTTTCTTCGGTTTCGGCTGCTTCGTCCTCCGGGTTCAGCAACGAAAAAAGACCCAACCCGCCTAGGAGGCCAGCCCAGCCGCCTAGCGCCCGCCTAGCCGCCTAGAGCCCGCCTAGCAGCCTAGCGCCCGCCTAGCCTTCTCGCCGTCCTCCTAGCCGCCTAGCCGCCCGCCTAGGCCCATTTTTTAGAGTCTAAAGCACAAGATTCCGAGGATAGACTCGAAACGGTTGCCTCTCAGGTTCAAAAGGTCATGCACTGATGTACTCAATCCATCTATGGTCTATGGCTATGAGTGTGTGATGTTGTTAGTGTGGTGTTCATTTTTCCATTGGCTTCTTTCTCTTTGCTTTCAGATGGCTGACATTGTTACAGAACAACAGATTCAAATTCAGCGCCTTGAGCAGGCTCTTCATATTACACAAGTAAGTTTTTTCTGCTTGAAACTGGCTTTAGGTTCTTTATTTGCTAAATTCATAAGTTTTGCTGATTCACTAATATTTGATAGTTTCTTCTTGGTTGGACTGCTTTTCATTTTTTGGATATTGCATTTCTGTTATAGATTTTGACATTTGGTCATGCCCTCTTGTTTTCTGAGAGAAAAAAGAAAAAATCAAGATTTGGCTCCTCCTCCTGTTGCATAGGAACCCAAACCCAACGCACCAAAGGACAGAAAAAAAAAAAAGAAATATTACACCACCTCAAGTGAAAAATCTAATTCATTTAAGCTTTTATATTTGTTCTTGTATCAACATCTGTGTTTCTGTTGTGTGAACCCCACCTCAACTCCAAAGAAAACAAAAATAAAATAAAATTAGAGGGTGCATTTGCTAACGCATGGGGTGGGAATCTCTTAATTATATTTAACTTTTCAAACTAACTTCAAAAGCACCAGATTAACATACCAACATGAAATATCGTTTATTGAGTCTCCATTAGTGTAAAAGGACTGTGACTTCATTAGCTGAAAATGCTGTAGAAGAAGGATAGACCTCGAGTTCATTGACATCCCTTTCACTATAAAAACCAGGCTTTTAAGGTTAGGCAATGACACTTCAATTTTGAAGCATAGCAAAGATTATTCAGCAAACATCTCCAATTTTGAAGGATTCAAAAGGTGACAAATATTTTAATCTGATCTCTTAACAATTTGTGTCTAATAATGGCTAATATGCCGTTAGAGAAACAGAGATAGAGGTGTGCATATCACTGTGCTAGTTGTAACAGTTGGCTAATATGTACCTACAGGAACTATGAATATGTCTGTTTTCTAACTGTCCAGCATTCAGTCCCATATAGCATGGCTGGTCTAACAGATGTTCTATAAACTTAGCTTTCAATTCTAGCAAAATATGATGATCACTCTATATATATGCTTAACAAAACCCTCCATTTTACATATCGTGCTTTGATTCTACGAGCCACATAATCTCCGTTCTCCCCTTGTATATATGGATGATTGAGTACATGCTAGATAGTGAAAGCTTTTGCTTTTTGATATACTCTTAGTGGTGCAATTGGTTGCTCTTGTGTCTTCCTCAGAACCAAGGCCCCTCGTGGTTAGCAGAATTCAAAGGAATATGGTTCCAGTCCAGTGACCATCTAGTAGATGCAACTTTGCCTGCTACTGAAGTCAAATAATCAGAACTGAGTATAAGGAATGGTACAAATAATCTTCACTATTATTATCAACAGTGTCTTCTGCGTCACGATTCTCTTTCTTTGTTTTAATGGAAGTTTGTAACTTAAATTTGTGTTTCTTATAAAAAGAAAAATTATAAATTGCTCTTATTGTAGAGTTCATGCAATAGAATTGGGTTAGTGAAAGTGTTGAGACAGACTTGTTGTATCTACTCAGCCTTTTTTTTTTGTTCAGAATATTTTGGATGTGTTATTAAAAGTGTGAAGATAGCATTTTATTCCTATGGTAAATGGATGCTATATGTGCAATGCTTATGATTTCTGATCTCAGTTATAGGAGAAACAAAGACTTCCGTAGCTTCTGGAAATGAGCATACTGGGGAGAAGCAATTAACGGATGTCTTAGTTAATTGGTGAAACCTCTTATAAGAAGATGGAATCCAAAATAGTAAAGGAGCCACGCACAGTTCAACAATGAGGCACCCATCACCTATTTTCAGTCCAAGCAAGGGATATGACTTACAAATTATTATTTTATTTATTTTGGAACTGCAGAATTGGTTATACTTTAAGTCTTTTTTTAAGTTTAATAAAATTGGTAATATATTTAGGTGTTATTTTTGGGTGTCCAATTCTTTCCTAACAAGTTAAGAGTATATATCTTCGCAACATTGAAATTGTAGCCTTGTCATTTATTGAACCTACCTTCCTTCCTTTATGCGGTAACACTTGTGATGTTGAACATAATCATGCAGATAGTGAAGAAAGAGATCTCGTGAATATTTTTGCTAGTCTCAGTCTAAAGCCTTCGAATCTTCCTGCTCGATATGCTCCTTGGAAGTGGGTAACTTCTGCTTTTAAGATGTTACATATGTGCATTCCATCATGATTTCAACAACTCATGTTGTGATTTGAATTAGAGTTAATATATTGTTTGGTATTAGAAGTTGATCAGAAAAATGTTGCTTGAGAATATGTGTGTTTTTTTTTTTTTTTTTCTTAAATCTTCCTGTGGGATCGCTTTTGCATCCTATGTTGATGTTTTGAATGCACTGTTTTGTCATGGCTGCTGTTTTACATATTTACATATATCAAGTTAATTAGGTGCTCTCAAAAGCTTCATTGATGTTTCTTTCTTTAGGGGAGGCTTCATCCTTGATGCAGCCACACCTGGAGAATTCATTGGTGGGTTAAAGACTACCATGTAATGCCAGGAACCAAGCCAAACAAAAAAAATTAGAAACTCAGAGAGAATGAGAGGGGAAATTGACTCTTTCCAACTAACAGGAACAAGACATTTTCATTAAAGACTACCAATAGATTGATAGTGTTCTTATGGTCAACAAGGACAAGAATTCCAGGGCTGCTCACCTTGAGTACACCTGATGAACCAGTGAGGGGTGTGTTTCTTTTAGTCAGCACTATATATGGAGAGTCTGACTCTGATTAGAAGATAATTTTATTAATTTGATGAAGTTTTCTGTAACTGTCTCTCACCTTAAAAAAATCTCACAATTAGCCGCATTGGAAACTTGATTAGAAATTAGAAACCCTACAGTATATAGTTTAAGTTGAGTAGCTGGGAAGACAATTAGTAAGCTATCAATACTAAAGTTGAATAGTGGGGAGGCAAATTACTAAAGTTCCAAGGACAGATAAATAGGATGAATTTCTCATAAGAGGATGACATGATTTGAATTCCCACTATAAGTGTATTACAAGTACCCTTTTGCTTGGGAAAGACAGTTAACAAAGAGAGGTTATGCTGGAAGCAAAACATAAGTTTTCTAGTTGTTGAGTTTGCAAAGAAGGATGCCCTAGCAAAACAAATTTGCCCGAGGAAACATGTTAGACATGTAATTGCAAGTTGAACTTATCTGGCATAAACATGAGAAAATAACAGTTTTAACAAGCACAGAAAGGAGGTACGATTGAAAATGTTAGGGATGTCGTTGACAGCCTCCAAATGGTTCTGTAGATCTTTCAAGTGGTCAAATGGAACTTGATGAAAACTTTTGCTTTCACCAGTCATAGTCCTTTCCATCACTCCAACCACAAGAACAACTAAATCTAGAGCATACCACATGTGCATAAGTTCAATATCCTGCATCCTACCATATTATAAAATAGAACAGAGAAACGCGAAACCATCAACATGTGAAGAAAAGCATGTCAAATCCCAAAATGACAAAAATATGAAATACATTGAGTGCAAAATTCGTTTGCAGATCTAATTTAAGGGTTGGAGAAATCCATTTTCGGGATTGGGGCATAATTCTCCCTTGGATGCATAATGCATTGGCCTTCTTCCATTTCATTCCCCTCCACCTCCCCGCCCCCTGCACACACACACACACACAACAAAAAAAGACTCCCACAAACTTGCGAGCTACAACACAATATGACAGTATTATTATATTAACGTATCAAAACTAACAGAAATATTATAATAGCTTCTCTTGGGGCGTGTTTGTTAAAGCATTTCAAAGACTACTTTAGTGTAACTCATGTTGATTGGACAGAGTTTTGGGCTGAAAGTAATCTGATTTCATATGTCATGTCATGATTGTTGGTCTGATTTTGATGGTTTTCTACAAGATATCTTTGAAGACGAAAAGAACAAAGAAATAGTTTTCCTTTCTCTGTTTTCTTTCTAGCCCATTTTTCTTGTAGGTTTTCTTTCTCTGTTTTGAATAAGATACAGTTTTCCTTGTCAAAACAACAAAGAAATAGACCAGAACAAGATTATTTGGAGGATTTTGAGGACTTACCCGAAGAGGAAAGATCAAGCCGATAACACAGAATCACAATGAAATTTTCAAAAAATGGGGCTAGGCGGCCTGGGCGGCTGTGTGCAATATCAAATTAGTTTCTTTAGTTTATTTTCTTTTTGTTTTTGTAATTAAACACTATCTTTGCTTTATTTTAATTAGTTTTATTAGTGATAGGGGAAACCAGTCTAGAATTTTCAGATTCTTTAGAGACCATGTGTTTTTTGTCATTTTTGACCATTGTGTGATATTTATTATGTGTAGTCCGAGATGGCTATTTCGACTTTAAAGACTATTTTGAATCTCTATGTGATACTGTGGACTGTGATAAAGACTTCTATTTGCTTTGAAAGCTATTTAGAGGCTCAGATAATTATTTCTGTTTACTTCGCGGTCCCAACGCAAACCATATGTATGCTGTTTGAGTTCGGCATTGTATAACTTTCTGAGAAGACTTGGGGAACTGAACCTTGCATATTCCCTTCTAATGGCTAGCTCACCCTTACTGTCACCCTCATCCACACACTAGAAGCAACAGTTTACATATTGAATCAACGGTCAATAAGCTTTCCAATAACATATTTGTTCTGGATAAGGAACTGTGAGCTTGTGGCAATGAGAGGGTACTAAAGAGATAATTACTACTACTTGTGTTTGTGTGTGTGTATATATATATATAGGATGGATTTGTGGCACCATATTTTTGACTAGTGTTTGATCTGGGATGGGAAAGCCAACTGGGCAGAACTTACATACTAAATTTGACGGTACGAGTGAATTTCATTAATAAGCAGAAAAAGATACATCTAGTCATGGGGGTCATAATGAGTTTTACCCTCAAATACATCTATACATAAATAAAAACTTAACAACAAAAACAAAAACCACAAATAATTTCAACAAAATCACAAAATTTTAAATCAATCCCTACATAAATCCTAGAATACTCAATTTTAAATTAAAACTATAATTAAAGATATAGAAAAATTAGATAATTAGAAAATACTTTTTGTTGTAGAAAGTAGAGGAAAATATACTGCCAAGTTGTCCACTGCCCAGCCAAGATAACAGGAAGATGCAACAAATAAAAGTGGAAAGAAGATGTTGCTGCCGTAAGACTGCCATAGAATAGATGAGATAAACAAGCTGATGTGATGTAGCCAAAGAGAAGAGAGAGAAGATATGGGACCACTTCCTCTTGGATGGGCAACATGTGTATTGGGTTAGCTTTTATTTTTTAAATTTTGGACTGCCCTTATAACATATGTAGGTTTTAAAAATTAAAAAAAACTTTGGGATGGGCAGGCACCCATCCTGCCCTGTGCATAGATCCACCACTGTTTTTGACACATAAGCATACCATAAAAAATGGACTAAAGAGAGGCGCCTAATCTATGAGCTAGAACTAGAAAGGCTTTCTTTGTGAATTAGAAGAATGCGCATGACGTAATGGGAAGGAAATAGCTCATATCTGACACCCAGAACCAGTAGGCTGCTTAACCCAAAATAGGAATAGCATAGTATATAACGACGATTCTATCAAAATCAGAGTTTGATCCTGGCTCAGACATAATAGTTAGGATTAGTAGAGAGCGGGGTCTTATAGGAGGATCCGCCCCTGCTCCTGAATGGAACGTATTGTCAATGTATGGAGGAGATCCACAGTGTGATTACCTACTTACTTGATCTCCACGAAACTAAAAAAAAACACACACGAAAGACCGATGAAAGTTAAAATAAAAAAGCTAAAGCACGAGAAAAAAGCGAAAAATTAGGATTTTCGATGAAGGCTGAAATTACGTACGTAAACTAAAAAAGTAATTGGCGGGAAGGCAAACCCGGCCAAGATGCCCAAAAGTCCCATGTTTTTCTTGGTTGGGCTGGTCCAACCAAGAAAGGCATGGGGCATTGCTTGTTCTGTTAGGTTCTTAGTATTAGTGGTCTACCTTTTCTTCTTTTACTTCACAGTTTCCTTGATAGCTGGAAGTTCTCCAAAAGTATGAAAAGCTGGAGGACTTTGTACCATCCATTCCAGTGTGGTTGAATTCTATTCAAGAGCCTAAGGACTTGGAGCACATCTTTTGTTATTTCCACTGCCTGAAGTGATTGTTACGACCACGAAGAAACGACGAATCCCAACTACGGATATATAAGAGCCAAAACTGCTAATGGCATTCCACCCAGCGTAAGCATCTGGATAATTTGGAATGCGCCGTGGCATACCCGATAGCCCTAAGAAATGCATTGGAAAGAAGGTCAGATTAACCCCGAAAAAAGTGATCCAAAAATGTATTTGCCCTAAAGTTTCAGGGTATATCCGACCAAAGATTTTACCCACCCAATAGTGAAATCCTGCAAATAAAGCAAAAACGGCTCCCATAGAAAGTACATAATGGAAATGTGCAACCACATAATAAGTATCATGTAGAGCAATGTCTAGCCCAGAATTTGCCAGGACTATTCCAGTGAGTCCTCCTATGGTGAACAAAAAGATGAACCCTACAGCAAATAACATGGGTGTTTTGTATTGTATCGAACCCCCCCACATGGTAGCGATCCAACTAAAGATTTTTATTCCAGTGGGGACAGCTATGATCATGGTAGCTGCGGTAAAGTAGGCACGGGTATCAACGTCTAAGCCCACAGTAAACATATGATGAGCCCAAACAAGAAATCCAAGAACACCTGTACTGATCATGGCATAAACCATGCCTAGATACCCGAAGACCGGTTTTCCCGAAAAAGTCAAAACGATATGACTTATGATACCGGATCCAGGGAGAATGGGAATATACACCTCTGGATGACCGAAGAACCGAAAGAGATGCTGGTATAATATGGGGTCTCCCCCTCCAGCGGGATCAGAAAAGGTTGTATTAAAGTTTCTATCGGTTAATAACATGGTAATTGCCCCCGCCAGTACCGGAAGCGATAATAAAAGTAGGAATGCTGTCACTAGAACGGACCACACAAATAGGGGTGATCTATGCATAGTCATTCCAGGTCCACGCATGTTGGAGATAGTTGTTATAAAATTGATAGAACCTAAAATGGATGAAACACCAGATAGATGAAGACTAGAAATTGCTAAATCAACCGCTCCCCCAGAATGGCTAGTAATACCACTTAAGGGCGGATAGACCGTCCACCCAGTGCCGCTACCCACTTCTACTAAGGCTGAGCTTAATAGGAGCAAGAGACTTGGTGGCAACAACCAGAATGAAATATTATTTAATCGTGGAAATGCCATGTCAGGTGCACCTATTAGAATCGGAACAGACCAATTACCAGATCCACCTATCATCGCCGGCATAACCATAAAAAAGATCATTAAAAAAGCGTGAGCTGTTATTAAAACATTATAAAGTTGATGATTACCACCAAGAATTTGATCGCCGGGTCGTGCTAATTCCATACGAATCAGTACTGAGAAGCATGTGCCCATCACTCCAGCAATAGCACCGAAGATGAAATATAGAGTCCCTATATCCTTGTGGTTAGTGGAGAACAGCCATCGTGTCATAAAATTGCGATTTACGAAAAAACGATTCCTTCCAGAAAAGCAAGTAAAGTTGTTCTTACCTTCCTGTACGAGGAGTGCAGAACTTTAGTGAGTTGTGGTTGGTTGTTGACCAACAGAAAGCATGGAAAAAAAAAGAAAAAGGGAGGTGGAGAAGGTCCGGAAAGCCCTCACTTTATTGATGGGGGACATTTTGATCCCCTTGTTGACCAAGCAAGGTCGCACTGAGACTGAGAACACCAACGGAACACTCTCTTACCCCCACTGACCAGCTAGTGTGCAATGACGACCGGCCCGCAAGCTACTCGATTTTTTTTTCTTAGCAGCTCTGGATTCTATTCTAGATGCTACTTACTTACATATGATGTTTTCTTTCACAAGGTAGCGCATCTATATAGCATAGCTGAAAGCGGACAAAAAAAGCTGTTCCCATAGCGTTACGTAGGCTTAGCTTAGCCTCTTTCTCTATCTACATTTATATATGATATGATAATATCACCAGTGGACAGCGAACAAAAAGATGCCACACTAAGAAAGCAATCCAATCAGGAACAAGGTAGTTAGGGACATGCGGACTAACTGCTCTGACATTCCTGTTTTTTGAAATGAATCTTCGGACCTTCTGAAACAGATGGCCCCCCCTTCTCCCAGACTGGGACTCACTCGGATAGCGAACAGGACGGCCTGGAATGGGAATTCGACTTCGATGGGGTTTCCAAAGCCCGGGCAAGGCGGGCGGTGTCCACCTTTCAGGGCTAGGGATGAGAATCGATCTGAATGCTAACATTGGGCGGGCCGCCAATAGGCTGAGGTGTAAGCCCTTATAAAACTTTTCCTTTCTAGACGCACCTCGCCCCTTGTGAGTCTTTCTTCTCCCAAAAATGTTCTGAGCTCAAGTGCTAATGTGGTATGAGGGAAAGGTTTTCTTCTTGTCTGCTTAGCTTATTCTTTGGCCTACCACATTTCCGGTCAATGCTGCGAGTGCAGTGCAATCATTTTTGACACAAGTTCTTGACCATTAGATTAACACATTATAAATGGCTGAGATTAAATCTCACTACTATTTATTACTATATTTTTAATAATACTTTTTGCCTAAAATTACTATTATTTTAATAGACTAATTATGAATTGCACAGTTCCCATGATTCTCTCTCTGTATCTCTTTTCCGTGCCCACCGTTGGCTCTACTTCTATCCCTCTTCCTTCATGGCCACTATTAACTACATCAATCAAGAATGCCAGCAGCAATCAACAATTGCAATCTATTAATTAAAAAAAATCTCTTCCCATCCTTCATCAGGCCAACAAGCATAACCTGATTCCTTCGAGCCTTGTCAAGATGATATCCTTAGTGCCTCAAAGTTCATCAAATTATGCAAAGTGAAAGCTTGAACAACATGTTCAATGGGTTAGTTGAACCAACCCATGCAGACTATTCTCAAGCAATTATCTCACATCTTACCACTCATTATACAGTTTTACCAAGGCTCAATGATGAGACAAGTAATTAACTAAAGAACTAGGAATTTTCCGATGAGTTTTAATTATTAATTTAGAAAAGTTGATAGTCGTCCAAAAATCCAACCAATTGGGTCTAGTCCTCGAATTATTGTCTATTGATACAAGTTCCTTGACTAGTTTGCCACGTAGATTACATTCCATCTTTGACATGTTGATTCAAAATTTTGTATTTAACTGATTTGTATTTAAATTTTTTTTGTTCCTATTATATCCCTATTGTCTAAAATGAGTAAGATGAGAATTTATATGCCATTATTTTTATTTTTGTTCACCCTATGGTAGAGGTATAGTATATACTCTTGTAGATAAATTATCCTATGGTGTAGGTATATTGTCATATTGCCTGTTGCATAGGTATATATTTGTCTTTGTTTTTTTTGTTTTTTTTGTTTTTTCATATTTTAGACAATGAATAATAGTATTTTATATACATTTTTTTTTATAGGTAACATATAATTTTATTTGTCTATTTTTGTATCTGACTTATAGGTAGTCTTCTAATTTATGTTCATAACTTATATGTAGTATTCTAATTTATGTTCATGACTTATAAGTAACACGATTTATCACTAAGTTTTTTTCGTTGCTAATAAGAACACTATTTACCTGTATGTTAGGTACATAATTTAATGTGGGTGCTTGCCTAAATAATTAGTATAATATGTGGGTCTTTACTTCAATTGATTAATTTGTATTTTTCCCATACATTAGGTAAATATTATCAATGAAAGAATTCCAAATTTAAAATTTGAAATTTAATTACAAGTAAATAATTCATTAAATTTACATTTTCAATGTTTTCCTTATGTACCTCAAAGGGTAAAATCGACACAATAAAAAGAGTAATAAAAGTCAAATGACCTACCTCTAAAACCAAACTACCATTATCTTTTATAATTCTAAAATATAAATTTTTATTTTTTTTTAAAAAAGTCTCACGCGCAGGCGTGGAAGTGCTTGTGGAGAGGCTAGTTGATATTAAACATGGGAAATAGTTAGGCATAAAACCTTTAGAGGTTGCATTTGCTAATGCATGGGTTGAGAATCTTTTAATTATATTTAAATTTTCAAACTGACTTCAAAAGCACTAGATTAACACAACATGAAATATCGTTTATCGAGCCTCTCTTAGCGTAAAAGGACAGTGACTTCATTAGCTGAAAGTGATTTAGAAGAAGGATTGACCTCGAGTTCATTGACATCCTATTTTTTGTTTGTTGAAGTTATGGGTTAAACCCGTGTTATTTGTTATAAATAAAGTCCATCTTTTTATTCTTGCCCAATGGGCCAATAGCTGGAAATCATTAGAATGAGAGGTATTAGAAAGAATTTAAATTCTCATTCCCCAATATCGTTTGTAGAAATAAAATAATAGAAGAAATAGCTCTAGTCCAATGGACTAAAGTTGTATTTCAGCCAAACCTTAAAATGATATTACAAAATTGCATATTTCAAGGGTATAGCCGGGCGGCTATACTCGCCAAATATATTAGAATATTTTAAACGAATAGCCGGTCGGCTATACTTTCTAAATACATTCGAATATTTTAAAGGGAGTTTCACTAAAACACCAAAAATGGGGGCTGAAATTATAAAAAAAACCCAACACCCAAAACACTTTATAAACACACCAAAAACCCATCATTACACACACTCAAAACCCATTTATAAACACACCCAAAAAATATACAATTGTTGATTTTGCGTGTGTTTCTATGTTTAAATACTGCTTGGGTTTTTTTTTTATAAATACATGTCAAGGATTGGGTTTATTTATAAATGTATAAATGTTAATATATTCGAATATTTTAAGAGTATAGCCGCGCGGCTATACGCTTTTAATATATTCTAAACGAACACGCAGCTTGCACTCGCAGAGGACGGATGTTGCAGTCGAAGTTTCGCTTCGATTTGTTTTCTTCTGTTTCGGCTGATTCGTCCTCCAGGTTCGGCAACGAAAAAAGACCCAACCCGCCTAGGAGGCCCGCCTAGCCGCCTAGAGCCCGCCCAGCCATCTCTCCGTCCGCCTAGCCGCCTAGCCGCCTAGCCGCCTAGCCGCCTAGCCGCCAGCCTAGGCCGATTTTTTGGAGTCTAAAGCAAAAGATGCCGAGGATAGACTCGAAACGGTTGCCTCTCAGACTTAAAAGGTCAAGCACTGGTGTACTCAATCCATCTTTGGTCTATGGCTATGAGTGTGTGATGTTGTTAGTGTGGTGTTCATTTTGCCATTGGCTTCTTTCTCTATGCTTTCAGATGGCTGACATTGTTACAAAACAATGGATTCAAATTCAGCGCCTTGAGCAGGCTCTTCATATTACACAAGTAAGTTTTTTCTGCTTGAAACTGGCTTCAGGTTCTTTATTTGCTAATTTCGTAAGTTTTGCTGATTCACTAATATTTGATAGTTTCTTCTTGGTTGGACTGCTTTTCATTCTTTGGATATTGCATTTCTGTTATAGATTTTGACATTTGATCATGCCCTTGTTTGCTGAGAGAAAAAATAAAAAAGAAGCAAGATTTGGCTCCTCCTCCTGTTGCTTAGGAACCCAAACCCAACGCACCAAAGCACATAATTTTTTTTTTTGAAATATTACACCACCTCAAGTGAAAAATCTAATTCATTTAAGCTTTTATATTTGTTCTTGTATCAGCATCTGTGTTTCTGATGTGTGAACTCCACCTTAACTCCAACAAAAACAAATAATAAAAATTAGAGGGTGCATTTCCTAACGCATGGGTTGGGAATCTTTTCATTATATTTAACTTTTCACACTGACTTCAAAAGCACCAGATTAACATACCAACACGAAATATCGTTTATCGGGCCTCCCTTAGTGTAACAGGACTGTGACTTCATTAGCTGAAAATGCTTTAGAAGAAGGATTGACCTTGAGTTCATTGACATCCCTTTCACTATAAAAACCTGCCCTTTAAGGTTGAGGCAATGACCCTTCGATTTTGAAGGATAGCAAAGATTATTCAGCAAACATCTCCAATTTTGAAGGATTCAAAAGGTGACAAATATTTTAATCTGATCTCTTAACAATTTGTGTCTAATAATGGCTAATATGCCGTTAGAGAAACAGAGATAGAGGTGTGCATATCACTGTGCTGGTTGTAACATTTGGCTAATATGTAACTACACAGGAACTATGAATATGTTTGTTTTCTAACTGTCCAGCATTCAGTCCCATATAGCATGGCTGGTCTAACAGATGTTCTATAAACTTAGCTTTCAATTCTAGGAAAATATGATGCTCACACTATATATATGCTTAACAAAACTCTCCCTTTTACCTATTGTGCTTTGATTCTATGAGCCACATAATCTCCATTCTCCCCATGTATGTATGGATGATTGAGTACATGCTAGATAGTGACAGTTTTTGTTTTTTGATATACTCTTAGTGGTGCAATTGGTTGCTCTTATGTCTTTGTCAGAATCAAAGGCTCCTCTTGGTTAGCAGAATTCAAAGGAATATGGTTCCAGTGAGCATCTAGTAGATGCAACTTTGCCTGCTACTGAAGTCAAATCATCAGAACTAGAGTATAAGGAATGGTACAAATAATCTTCACTATTATTATCAACAGTGTCTTCTGCATCACGAGTCTCTTTCTTTGTTTTAATGAAAGTTTGTAACTTAAATTTGTGTTTCTTATAGAAAGAAAAATTATAAATTGCTCACATATCACGATTCTCTTTCTGCAACTCACATATCCCTGCGAGGGCAAAGTCAGTTTACAAGCCTGACAATGTTAAAAAAGGACAAACAATAAAGGAAAACGGGTAACCCTCAGTCAGTTAGAAAACGGTCTCTTGACATCGTGGTGCAGTGATTCTGTGCTCCACAACTAAGAATTAATCCAGTGCTGCAAAAGACAGTCTTCTCATAACCCATGACTTATCAAAATCATGTTAGGATATTAATAAAATATATTACTATAAATTCATGTTATGCAATCAACTAAGGTTTGATATGCGACACATATGAAACCGGACGTTTGAGCATTCACACACAGACACACAAAAGAAGACCACCAATACGGATCTCTGCAGATCACGAAAGTCAGCATTGTCCGTTTAGTACTACAGCCCTAAACATGAGTGGTAAAATTCTATCATATAGAAGGTTTAACATAATTTGTGATGGGAGAAAGTTCAAGGTCATTAAAAGTAAATGAAACGCAGATTGCAGATTGGGCGTGTCCAGGACCCCATGAAGAATTCCTTGCTAGATTTTGGAGCCTGCAATGCAAAGAGACCAGCTTTTTTTTGTCATTCGTATGAATTTTGGAAATATTTCAACAACTCATGTTGTGATTCGTGTAACTTAAAATTTGTTCCTTTATTCTGTCATGATTTCAACAACTCATGTTGTGATTTGAATTAGAGTTAATATATTGTTTGGTATTAGAAGTTGATCAGAGATATGTTGCTTGAGAATATGTGTGGGTTTTTTTTTCCAACTTAAATCTTCCAGTGGGATCGCTTTTGCATCCTATGTTGATGTTCTAAATGCACTGTTTTGTCATGGCTGCTGTTTTACATATTTACATATATCAAGTTAATTAAGTGCTCTCAAAAGCTTCATTGATGTTTCTTTCTTTAGGGGAGGCTTCATCCTTGATGCAGCCACACCTGGAGAATACATTGGTGGGTTAAAGACTACCATGTAATGCCAAGAACCAAGTGAAACAAAAAAAATTAGAAACTCATAGAGAATGAGAGGGGAAATTGACTCTTTCCAACTAACAGGAACAAGACATTTTCATTAAAGACTACCAATAGATTGATAGTGTTCTTGTGGTCAACAAGGACAAGAATTCCAGGGCTGCTCACCTTGAGTACACCTGATGAACCAGTGAGGGGTGTGTTTCTTTTAGTCAGCACTATATATGGAGAGTCTGACTCTGATTAGAAGATAATTTTATTAATTTGATAAAGTTTTCTGTAACTGTCTCTCACCTTAAAAAAAATCTCACAATTAGCAGCATTGGAAACTTGATTAGAAATTAGAAACCCTACAGTATATAGTTTAAGTTGAGTAGCTGGGAAGACAATTAGTAAGCTATCAATACTAAAGTTGAATAGTGGGGAGGCAAATTACTAAAGTTCCAAGGACAGATAAATAGGATGAATTTCTCATAAGGGATCCCCTTTCACTGTAGCTTGGAGTAGATTTCGTTTTGACACAATATCAATTATCAATGTAAACGCGTTACTGATGCATTATCGACAATATCGTTGCACGTCATATCAAATTTAGATGCGTAATTGAATGCAAATAAACATCACCCTCTCCAGTGTGAAATGGAGAAAATTCTCTTCAATCAAAAGTGGGCTTACTTCAAATTTAGTTCAAGAATGATGGTGTCTTGCCTGACAATTGACTATTAGGAGCGTTCCTCTAGTAGAAAAATCTAAATCATTTGTGGTCATCCACTCACTTGGTTAGTCTTCCAGAATCAAATACCAAATCAACTCAAAGGAAGCTGCAATTTTCTGAATTGTATACTTGTTTTTATTCTTCCTATCTTTTTCTCTCTTTCAGTTTTTTTGTCCCCCTCAAGTTAATACTTAAGTGAGTTGCCAAATGGGGGAAAAAAAAGAGAGTAGAAGAGATGAACCCCACATTTGACTTTAATAGACAAATGCCCAAGAGAAGTACCAATAAGAGCATCTCCAATTGGGAGGTGCTATCCTATAATTTGACACACATTTCTTATTTTTTTTCAATTCTAACATCATGTCATCTATATCGCAATAAGCCATTGTAGTTAAATTTTTAAATAACCAAGTTGCTCTCTATTTTCCAAAGAAAACTAGAAAACTAACTTACCATCTATCTGGTGCTGCTTCTTCCAAACATAAGAAAAAACAGAGCTACACCCAGGAGATGACACAATACTGCCTACTATGATTCTTACTTGTTTCACATTCTATGAGACTATAAAATATAACCCAAGTGGTCTAACCCCCCGGGGCGGAAATTGGGTTTAGCAGGTTTAGCACTGATTGTTGTAATAGTCTTCATGATCTAGGCAGGAAATATATTTGAAAGCAAAAAGAGTGAGAAGTTAGATATTGATAAAGAAAGAAAAAAAAATTCTGTAATGTCTTTCATCCATTGATCTTAACAGACGAATTTTGAATGTAGAGTTTGATAATTGTGTCCAAATCCAAAATTATAGAGTAACAACCTTTGGGTTTGATATGTTTTGACTTTACTTTTTGTACATGATCATGAAGAGATGGATAACTCCCAATTGACTGTTCCATATCCAAAGATGTTTCTTTTTTCTCTTGTTTTCTTTAAAATTTGCATTAACACACTGACTTTTCAGATTAAAAATGACTCGATACCTAGTTCTGATGCTGCCATACTAAAATAAATATCTTGCCCATTTTCAGTGAAATTTCTTACATCAATCAGCTCACTAAACCACAGCAGGCACCCACTTCCTCCATCCCTGGTATCCAAGTTTGCAAAAGCTGTGCAGGAGCAGTTCTTCATGCACAACATCTCACATTCCTTGAGTTCCATACTTCTGTTAAACCCGATATCATTTGCAGAAGATCCATCATTTGCAGTCTGTTTTGTTCACTCTTAAGGTTTGTTTCCCATTTCAGCTTAAAATCTTCAGCTTTCAAGTATATGCTAAATTGAAAGCAAATATATAATATTTGGTTGCATTTGTACGTCACAGAGACACTCATTGGCTACTGATGAGAGGCTTAATGCTCTAGAAAAAGAGGTTCACATCTTTTTCAATTTATTTTTTGCAATTTTCAATTCAATGAAAAAGTAGCAGAAAGGGTTTGTTGGATTTGAGAAATGGTCTTTGCAATGCTTTTTAGGTACGGCTTCTGTGGGCTGCATCAAGAAAGTACAACTTCGACCTTCATGTTTTAGAGTTTAAAGCACAAGATGCAGAGGATAGACTCGAAACGGTTGCCTCTCAGGCTCAAAAGGTCATGCACTGATGTACTCAATCCATCTTTGGTATATGGCTATGAGTGTGTGATGTTGTTAGTGTGGTGTTCATTTTACCATTGGTTTCTTTCTCTTCGCTTTCAGATGGCTGACATTGTTACAGAACAATGGATTCAAATTCAGCGGCTTGGGCAGGCTTCTGCTTGAAACTCGCTTCAGGTTCTTTATTTGCTAAATTCATAAGTTTTGCTGGTTCACTAATATTTGCTAGTTTCTTCTTGGTTGGACTGCCTTTCATTCTTTGGATATTGCATTTCTGTTATAGATTTTGACATTTGATCCTGCCCTCTTGTTGAAAAAAGAAAGAAAGATTGGTCTCCTCCTCCTGTTGCATAGGAACCCAAAACCAACCCACCAAAGAACAGAAAAAATGAAAATTGAAATATTACACCACCTCAAGTGAAAAATCTAATTCATTTAAGCTTTTATATTTGTTCTTGTATCAGCATCTGTGTTTCTGTTGTGTGAACTCCACCTCAACTTCAACGAAAACAAATATAAAAAATTAAAGGGTGCATTTGCTAACGCATGGGTTGGGAATATCTTAATTATATTTAACTTTTCAAACTAACTTCAAAAACACTAGATTAACACACCAACATGAAATATTGTTTATCGAGCTGCTCTTAGTGTAAAAGGACAGTGACTTCATTAGCTGAAAATGCTTTAGAAGAAGGATTGACCTCGAGTTCATTGACATCCCATTTTTTGTTGTTGAATTTATGGGCTAAACCCGAGTTATTTGTAACAAATAAAATCCATTTTTATATTCTTGCCCAATGGGCTAATAGCTGGAAATCATTAGAATGGGAGGTATTGGAAAGAATTTAAATTCTCATTCCCCAATATAGCTTGTACAAATAAAATAATTGAAGAAATAGCTCTAGTCCAATGGACTAAAGTGGTATTTCAGCCCCAAACCTTAAAATGATATTACAAAATTGTATATTTCAGGAGTATAGCCGGGCGTCTATACTCGGTAAATATAGTAGAATATTTTAAACGAATAGCCGGACGGCTATACTTTCTAAATACATTCGAATATTTTAAATGTCTAAATGTTAATATATTCGAATATTTTAAGCGTATAGCCGAGCGGCTATACTTTTTTAATATATTCGAAACAAACATGAAGCTTGCACTCGCAGAGGACGGAGGTTGCAGTCGAAGTTTCGCTTCTCTATCAACTCAAGCTTCGATTTGTTTTCTTCGGTTTCGGCTGCTTCGTCCTCCGGGTTCGGCAACGAAAAAAGACCCAACCCGCCTAGGAGGCCAGCCCAGCCGCCTAGCGCCCGCCTAGCCGCCTAGAGCCCGCCTAGCCGCCTAGCGCCCGCCTAGCCTTCTCGCCGTCCTCCTAGCCACCTAGCCGCCCGCCTAGGCCCATTTTTTAGAGTCTAAAGCACAAGATGCCGAGGATAGACTCGAAACGGTTGCCTCTCAGGCTCAAAAGGTCATGCACTGATGTACTCAATCCATCTTTGGTCTATGGCTATGAGTGTGTGATATTGTTAGTGTGGTGTTCATTTTGCCATTGGCTTTTTTCTCTTTGCTTTCAGATGGCTGACATTGTTACAGAAAAATGGATTCAAATTCAGCGCCTTGAGCAGGCTCTTCATATTACACAAGTAAGTTTTTTCTGCTTGAAACTGGCTTCAGGTTCTTTATTTGCTAAATTCATAAGTTTTGCTGATTCACTAATATTTGATAGTTTCTTCTTGGTTGGACTGCTTTTCATTCTTTGGATATTGCATTTCTGTTATAGATTTTGACATTTGATCATGCCCTCTTGTTTGCTGAGAGAAAAAAGAAAAAAGAAGCAAGATTTGGCTCCTCCTCCTGTTGCATAGGAACCTAAACCCAACCCACCAAAGGACAGAAAAAAAAAAAATTGAAATATTACACCACCTCAAGTGAAAAATCTAATTCATTTAAGCTTTTATATTTGTTCTTGTATCAGCATCTGTGTTTCTGTTGTGTGAACTCCACCTCAACTCCAAAGAAAACAAATAATAAAAAATTAGAGGGTGCATTTGCTAACGCATGGGTTGGGAATCTCTTAATTATATTTAACTTTTCAAACTAACTTCAAAAGCACCAGATTAACATACCAACATGAAATATCGTTTATTGAGTCTCCATTGGTGTAAAAGGACTGTGACTTCATTAGCTGAAAATGCTTTAGAAGAAGAATAGACCTCGAGTTCATTGACATCCCCTTCACTATAAAAACCAGGCTTTTAAGGTTAGGCAATGACCCTTCAATTTTGAAGCATAGCAAAGATTATTCAGCAAACATGTCCAATTTTGAAGGATTCAAAAGGTGACAAATATTTTAATCTGATCTCTTAACAATTTGTGTCTAATAATGGCTAATATGCCGTTAGAGAAACAGAGATAGAGGTGTGCATATCACTGTGCTAGTTGTAACAGTTGGCTAATATGTACCTACAGGAACTATGAATATGTCTGTTTTCTAACTGTCCAGCATTCAGTCCCATATAGCATGGCTGGTCTAACAGATGTTCTATAAACTTAGCTTTCAATTCTAGCAAAATATGATGATCACTCTATATATATGCTTAACAAAACCCTCCATTTTACCTATCGTGCTTTGATTCTACGAGCCACATAATCTCCGTTCTCCCCTTGTATATATGGATGATTGAGTACATGCTAGATAGTGAAAGCTTTTGCTTTTTGATATACTCTTAGTGGTGCAATTGGTTGCTCTTGTGTCTTCCTCAGAACCAAGGCCCCTCGTGGTTAGCAGAATTCAAAGGAATATGGTTCCAGTCCAGTGACCATCTAGTAGATGCAACTTTGCCTGCTACTGAAGTCAAATCATCAGAACTGAGTATATGGAATGGTACAAATAATCTTCACTATTATTATCAACAGTGTCTTCTGCATCACGATTCTCTTTCTTTGTTTTAATGGAAGTTTGTAACTTAAATTTGTGTTTCTTATAAAAAGAAAAATTATAAATTGCTCTTATTGTAGAGTTCATGCAATAGAATTGGGTTAGTGAAAGTGTTGAGACAGACTTGTTGTATCTACTCAGCTTTTTTTTTGTTCAGAATATTTTGGATGTGTTATTAAAAGTGTGAAGATAGCATTTTATTCCTATGGTAAATGGATGCTATATGTGCAATGCTTATGATTTCTTATCTCAGTTATAGGAGAAACAAAGACTTCCGTAGCTTCTGGAAATGAGCATATTGGGGAGAAGCAATTAACGGATGTCTTAGTTAATTGGTGAAACCTCTTATAAGAAGATGGAATCCAAAATAGTAAAGGAGCCACGCACAGTTCAACAATGAGGCACCCATCACCTATTTTCAGTCCAAGCAAGGGATATGACTTACAAATTATTATTTTATTTATTTTGGAACTGCAGAATTGGTTATACTTTAAGTCTTTTTTTAAGTTTAATAAAATTGGTAATATATTTAGGTGTTATTTTTGGGTGTCCAATTCTTTCCTAACAAGTTAAGAGTATATATCTTCGCAACATTGAAATTGTAGCACAGTTGTGACTGTGGTTGGTAATTTTGTTGCCTTGTCATTTATTGAACCTACCTTCCTTCCTTTATGTGGTAACACTTGTGCTGTTGAACATAATCATGCAGATAGTGAAGAAAGAGATCTCGTGAATATTTTTGCTAGTCTCAGTCTAAAGCCTTCGAATCTTCCTGCTCGAGATGCTCCTTGGAAGTGGGTAACTTCTGCTTTTAAGATGTTACATATGTGTATTCCATCATGATTTCAACAACTCATGTTGTGATTTGAATTAGAGTTAATATATTGTTTGGTATTAGAAGTTGATCAGAAAAATGTTGCTTGAGAATATGTGTGGTTTGTTTTTTTTTCTTCAACTTAAATCTTCCTGTGGGATCGCTTTTGCATCCTATGTTGATGTTCTGAATGCACTGTTTTGTCATGGCTGCTGTTTTACATATTTACATATATCAAGTTAATTAGGTGCTCTCAAAGCTTCATTGATGTTTCTTTCTTTAGGGGAGGCTTCATCCTTGATGCAGCCACACCTGGAGAATTCATTGGTGGGTTAAAGACTACCATGTAATGCCAGGAACCAAGGCAAACAAAAAAAATTAGAAACTCAGAGAGAATGAGAGGGGAAATTGACTCTTTCCAACTAACAGGAACAAGACATTTTCATTAAAGACTACCAATAGATTGATAGTGTTCTTGTGGTCAACAAGGACAAGAATTCCAGGGCTGCTCACCTTGAGTACACCTGATGAACCAGTGAGGGGTGTGTTGCTTTTAGTCAGCACTATATATGGAGAGTCTGACTCTGATTAGAAGATAATTTTATTAATTTGATAAAGTTTTCTGTAACTGTCTCTCACCTTAAAAAAAATCTCACAATTAGCAGCATTGGAAACTTGATTAGAAATTAGAAACCCTACAGTATATAGTTTAAGTTGAGTAGCTGGGAAGACAATTAGTAAGCTATCAATACTAAAGTTGAATAGTGGGGAGGCAAATTACTAAAGTTCCAAGGACAGATAAATAGGATGAATTTCTCATAAGAGGATGACATGATTTGAATTCCCACTATAAGTGTATTACAAGTACCCTTTTGCTTGGGAAAGACAGTTAACAAAGAGAGGTTACGCTGGAAGCAAAACATAAGCTTTCTAGTTGTTGAGTTTGCAAAGAAGGATGCCCTAGCAAAACAGATTTGCCCGAGGAAACATGTTAGACATGTAATTGCAAGTTGAACTTATCTGGCATAAACATGAGAAAATAACAGTTTTAACAAGCACAAAAAGGAGGTACGATTGAAAATGTTAGGCTAAAAGAAAACCATATTCAGAATAGACTACCTTGCGAGGGATGTCATTGACAGCCTCCAAATGGTTCTATAGATCTTTCAAGTGGTCAAATGCAACTTGATGAAAACTTTTTCTTTCACCAGTCATAGTCCTTTCCATCACTCCAACCACAAGAACAGCTAAATCTAGAGCATACCACATATGCATAAGTTCAATATCCTGCATCCTACCATATTATAAAATAGAACAGAGAAACGCGAAACCATCAACATGTGAAGAAAAGCATGTCAAATCCCAAAATGACAAAAATATGAAATACATTGAGTGCAAAATTCGTTTGCAGAT